TGAAATCTGTGCGCCATCTGTGAGTGCATAGGACTGCAACCTTATGAATGATTCTCCAACCCCCCAACTGAATTAATTACATTACAGTACTCTTCTTCTACATATGTTGCCTGGGAGTAGAAAATCATTTTGAGATGAGACAGATGGTAGTCTTTCCAGCAAGATCTCTGGAACTTGACTGTAACTGCATTTCCCTTGATTCCTGGAGGGGCTGCTCCATAAGGCATGAATTCTTGGCTTAGTCTACATCAATGCAGCTAGAAAAGTAATGAGAGCCAACCAAGTCAATCGAATCAGTTTTACACATGGGAGCGGGTGAACACACGAATATTTGAAATCCAAGACCAATATTAGCTGCTTTTTGTGACATTCAAAATCTATTTGAGGCAGCTGTTACACTTCATCCAATATGAGCACAGGCCAAAACTCTCAAGGAGGCTGAAACTTTCTTGGTTCCAAATTTTGGTTATGATAACATTACCCTGTTCCAAGGATTCAACCAGGAGTGAAATCCAGCAGGTTCTGTAGAACCGGTAGCGGAAATTTTGAGCAGTTCAGAGAACCAGTAGAGAAAATTTTGAATAGTTCGGAGAATCGGCAAATACCACCTCTGGCTGGCCCCAGAGTGGGGTGGGAATGGAGATTTTGCAGTATCCTTCCTCTGGAGTGGGGTGGGAATGGAGATTTTGCAGTATCCTTCCCCTGCCATGCCACCAAGCCACACCCACCAAGCCATACCATGCCCACCAAGCCACGCCCACAGAACCAGTAGTAAAAAAAAAATGATTTCACTACTGGATTCAATCCACTCTAGACCAAGGCTAGTCCAGTGTTCAGTATGATGAGAGGGCTATGTTGATGAAGGGCAGAGCTTTTCAATCAGCTTTAATTCATACTAACTATTGAGATTTATAAATCAAGGGTTGTGGTTCAAAAATCTATTAATGATGAGCAGCCCAGCTTTCAAATCTACAGCAAAAGTTTAGGAAAAATACAACCTTTTTTCTTTTCTAATATAAATTAATGGTTACCATTCATTCTTTTTAAAAAAAAAACATTTTATTAGATTATAGAATAAAATGCAAAAATACAACAGCAAATAGTAGAACACAGTGGGGAGGAGAAGGGGAAAGAAAAGTGAGGAGGGGAGGGAGAAAAGAAAAGAAAGCATTGACTTCTGACTCCCTCTGCTGCAGAAGAACAAAGCATTAACCTCAAACCTCAACTTTTTACTTTTCCATAATAATAGATTCCCATTCATTCCAATGGGATAAAATAACGAATAAATAAATGGGGACAGTAGGACAGGGATGATAGGCACATAGGTGCTCTTATGAACGCCCCTTACAGATTTCTTAGGAATGGGGTGAGGTCAACAGTAGACAGTCTAAGGTTAAAGTTATGGGGATTTTGGGATGAAACCACAGAGTCAAGTAATGCATTCCAGGCATTGACCACTCTGTTGCTGAAGATATATTTTCTGCAATCGAGTTTGGAGTGGTTTACATTAAGTTTGTATCTATTGGGTGCTTGTGTATTATTGTGGTTGAAGCTGAAGTAGTCATTGACAGGTAGGATGTTGTAGCAGATAATTTTGTGTACTACGCTTAGGTCAGACCGAAGGCAGTGTAGTTCTAAATCGTCTAATCTCAAAATTTCAAGCCTGGTGGCATAAGGTATTCTGTTGTGAGCAGAGGAGTGGAGGACTCTTCTCGTGAAATACCTCTGGACTTCCTCAATTGTATTAATTAATTGTACTAACATTGGCAACGTTGTTCCACTGGGAGAAACGTGTGTCTCATTCTTTTTTGTGAGCTACACTAAGAGAGACTCTACCAAAAATTTAAGTCTGAACCATATTTATGCTTGCTACTCTCTGATGAGAAAAATTTGTATATTCAGGTTCCGTTTCCAAAAAATCCAGCATGGTGCCTTCATAAACGTTTTGATATTAGATTGGCCCAAGATCACATTATATTGAATGACAACCTTCTCTTAAATAAAAGCAATTGGCATGCATTAAAGAGCAAATAGGAAAATTGAATATTATTCTGCATTAAGATATTTTGGAAGAAAGCTGGAGGGTGGGGATGACAAAAATCTAATAAATAAGATATTGCTGTTCTATATGCCCTTTGTAACATGTTCTGTTGTTGAATGGTTCACCTGTTCTTAACTTTTGCCAAGTGAGTTAAACTCGGCATATTATTTTATTCCAATAGAAATCTGAACACTGTTCAAAATATATTCAAGTTTTAAAGGAGACAAGTTCCTACATACTTCTCGGGTAAAAAATTTCATTTGAATGTTTTCTCAACCCATCAGAATGAATAAATTCTCTCCTTCTGTAAAAAATAAAATAAAATTAGAAAACAAGCTTTATTTTTTTAAAGTAACTAAATATTGGGATATGTTGAAAATAATTTTTATCATGGGAGAATGGTGGCTTTATATGCACAAACGTGATTATATATATATATATATATAATAGATACACACAGAGAGACACACACAGAGAGACAAAAACACACACTGTTTGATCTTCCTTACAGTAATTACAAAGAGAGTTATTTTCTCCTCTCTCTTTGAAGCTACATTACAGAGTTCTCTTCTTTCCATAATCAATTTTCTTTTTATTCTGCAAATCCATAGATCACCAATTCTTTTCAGCAAAATGTCCATAAGAGACCCCCAGTTTTTTATGCAAGTACTTATTGTTTTATCCCAAAACAAACAGATCAATTTTACATTTCTGAAATTCTGCCATCTTTACAAATTGCCCTTCTATTGGTAGTATTTCAGTGTTTTCCATCTTTCTGCATATAGTAGTCTCACTGCAGTTAGTGTGGCTTCTTTAAGCCTTCCATTCATATAGTGTTGTTATGTTTATTTCTGTACAAATAGACCATATCCAATTATAATTGTTTATAAACAAGAAGAGAGTACAATTTAAATCTATTGGAAAAACAGACGGTGAAAAGTTTTTATATATTTCTTTGGTCCTATGGTCCTGATATTCTGTATTATATATTACCTATTGATAACTGAGTGAAATTATAATGGATAAACATTTGATGACACCAGAAGTGGGTTTCAGCAGGTTCTGACCAGTTCTGGAGAACCGGTAGTGGAAATTTTGAGTAGTTTGGAGAACCGGTAGTAAAAATTCTGACTGGCCCTGCCCTCATCTATTCTCTGCCTCCCAAGTCCCAGCTGATCGGGAGGAAATGGGGATTTTGCAGTAACCTTCCCCTGGATTGGGGAGGGAATGGAGATTTTACAGTATCTTTCACCTGGAGTGGGGTGGGAATGGAGATTTTACAGTACCCTTCCCTTGCCATGCCCACCAAGCCATGCCCACAGAACCGGTAGTAAAAAATTTTGAAACCCACTACTGGTTTACACGATGTTAAAATTGGCTTGATATCATCATCGCTTAAAATAATGGTAATGTTTGGAAATAAACCTGAAAATGTTAATGAGTTGTGTTGTTGGCTGATATTTCAATAATATCAATCTATAAACATCTATGATTTGAGATTTCCGTATTAAAAATGGCAAAGGAAATCCATAAAGTACTTTTGGTAAGAATAAATTACTATAATGGTATTAGAAGGAAGGAACTTAAGAAGGAACTAAAGATTAAAGGAGGAAAAACACTTAAATGTGACTTACGTAGAAGGGATCAAACTATCTTAACATCAGACTTATTGAAATATTTTTTTCCCGTGAACTATGAATCCAGAAGTTAATTTTAAGATTGTCCGCCATTATACTGTAGATAGTGTTTACAAGAAGTTAAGAAAGAGGAATAAGTTTTACCTGACAAGACAGAGATTGGTTTAAAAATGGATTTAAAAGTGACATAGAAATATCTACACTGGATATACAAATGAAATCAGCTGATGACTTAATAATTGTTTGTTTGTTTGTTTGTTTTATTAGATTTATATACTGCCCTACTCCTGAAGGACTCAGGGCGGTGAACAGGCACAAAATAAAATACATAAATATAAAATTTAAAAGCAGAAATAAAACTAGATTAAACAATTTAGCCCGAGACAAATTTAAAACATTCCAATAATTTAAAAACAGATTTAAAATTTTTAATTTAAAAGAAAAGGGGGAAAAGGTTAGGCCAGGCCAGCTTGCTGGAATAGGAAGGTCTTAAGAGCGCGGCGGAAAGTGCGCAGATCCGAGATCCTCCGTATCTCTGGGGGGAGCTCGTTCCAGATAGTGGGTACCCCCACAGACAAGGCCCTCCCCCTGGGAGCTGCCAGTCGACACTGTTTGGCTGACGGCACCCGGAGGAGCCCCTCACTATGAGAGCATACCGGCCGGTGGGAGGCTATTTGTGGTAGTAGGCGGTCCTGTAAGTAGCCAGGTCCTAAGCCATGGAGCGCTCTAAAGGTGGTAACCAAAACCTTGAAGCGCGCCCGGAAGACCACCGGAAGCCAGTGTATCCCTAAAATAACAAATAACAAATTTAAAAAATGACCCAGACTGAAGAATTTTGTAAGAAAGATTGAAATTGAATGAATTTCAAAAATGAAAAAAAAAACAAAAAACCAACACATTTAATGGACTTTTGTTCATCAGGATTGAATGATGACTAAACTTTAAAGATTTGTTTACAGTTAGGAAATAAGATATGGAAAGAACAGGTTGTTTGTTGCATTTTAAGTGAAGGTGATAAATTAACTAAAATTGTTTATATTTGAGATGAAACAAGAAGTCTTTTTATCTGTTTCTTTTCCTTTTCTTTACTATATTCTTATTTTTTTCCTATTTTTCCTATTTTTCCTTTTCTGCTTTTTCTATTTTTATTCCTTTTTATTAGTATATATTAATGTTTATCTTTTTAACTGTTTAAATGTTTAATCGAATTATTATAAAAAATTGAAAGCCATTAAAGCAATACTGCCTTGTAATGAACTCATTTATGTAGCCAAGTGTGGGTGTCCTAGTACAAAATATAGCACAAAGAAATTACACCGTAATTCAACATGAAGTATTACTCTATTAAAATTAGAGGAATGACAACTCCATCCTTCTTGGCAAATAAACTCTGATGGAACTTGGAAGATCACAGGGAATTAAACTTGCCTTTGCCATAACTCATTTCTTCACACATTCTCAACTCAGAACTACTTTGGTGTGTGGGTGAACAGATGGCAATGGCTGTTGGGAAAAAAAATAGGGCACATTAGATCCACTACGAGATGTTAACCAGAAACTGCTAATATTGTATGGAGCAGAATGAAGAGCCATCTCATACTTTCACTGAAGTTTGTAAACTAGTCTAATAAAACTGAGTTGGATTCCCCTTTCCCTGCCCCACTTTAGGTCAAATTGGTTTAGTACCAAAGAAGCAATACTTTAATGATACGGTTCATTAAAGCAACTGCATCTTTTTCAAACCTTGTACAAAAGCCTGGGAAAAAAGGACTTGTGCATACCCTAATGAATAGAAGAAACAGGGCTGAAATCCAGCAGGTTCTGACAGGTTCTGGAGAACCGGTAGTGGAAATTTTGAGTAGTTCAGAGAACCGGCAAATACCACCTCTGGCTGGCCCCAGAGTGGGGTGGAAATGGAGATTTTGCAATAACCTTCCCCCAGGAGTGGGGAGGGAATGGAGATTTTGCAATATCCTTCCCCAGCCACACCCACCAAGCCATGCCTAGCAAGCCACACCACACCACATCACGCCCACCAAGCCACGCCCACAGAACCAGTAGTAAAAAAAAGTTGGATTTTACCACTGAGAAGAAACCCTGTTTTTGTCTGGTGCACTTTTTCCAAAGTATTTACAAAACAGTCTTACTATTACTATCTCTCTCTTACTTGTTATTTAAATAATATCTTAACATGTTAATATGACTAGCTACTATTGCAACCTAACTCAGAGGCGGTGGGCTTCCTCAAACACACATAATACTGTAGCTATTATCACCTCCTGTACACAAAGGAATAAAATCAGAAATTTACTTTGCTCTTTCAGAAAGCTTTGGAAAACTTTTGCTGTTCTAATATTAGTTTATTTCAGGGGTGAAATCCAGCAGGTTCTGACAGGTTTTGGAGAACTGGTAGTGGAAATTTTGAGTAGTTTGGAGAACTGGCAAATACCACCTCTGGCTGGCCCCAGAGTGGGGTGGGAATGGAGATTTTGCAATATCCTCCCCCCAGGAGTGGGGAGGGAATGGGGATTTTGCAATATCCTTCCCCTGGAGTGGTGTGGGAATGGAGATTTTTCAGTATCCTTCCTCTGCCACATCCACCAAGCCACGTCCACAGAACCGGTAGTAAAAAAAATTTGGATTTCACCACTGGTTTATTTGCAAAGTAGGATTACTTGTCTTAACTTTTGTTTGTGAGCAAAATAAAGGTTACGAAAACCAAAACTGAAGCTTGCTTTCTTCTCCCGGTTCAAGAAAAGGGAAAGGAAATCTAAGTTTACATATTATCTCATACCAACCCATGACTCTCCGCACTATATACAAATGAAAAAAAGAGTCTGAAGAATCTCACAAACTTATGATGACCATTAACATTCTTCTTTATCCTCGCCAGTATTTTCTGCATCACGTTTATAATACATCTTCCTTGCCTGTCCATATAGTATCTCTGTGAATTCAAAGGTAAATATTTCCATTTCTTTCAGGGGGTCATAAAAGGATAATGGAGTTAAGCAGATATAGCTCATCTTTATTACTTTGAAAATCATTTTTTTGAATTTTTTTTTAAACAAAACATAAAAACATCCATCATCCATTCCAATTACAAGTAGTATGTCAGTCGGTTACAAATCTTTTGTGCTTCATCTCATATTCATCTTTACAAATTCTCTAATTTCTCGTATTATCAATCTAACATATATCTTTATATCATTATTCTCATTTGTCATTAACAATGGCATTTTCATCCCATTAAAATCATTTCCATAAATTGTATTTTAACATCCATTTCATATTTCATTTCCATGTTTTATTATCTAACCATTGATAAAATAAATCCCATATCTTATAGTATTGTTTATCTTCCTGTTCTCTAATTTCAAATGTCAATTTGCTCATTTCAGCTCATTCCATAATTTTCCTAATAACTTCATCTTATTTGGGTATTTCCTCATTTTTCCAATTTTTAGCAAACACAATTCTAGCCGCTGTCAATACATTCACAATCAGGTAACTCAATTCTCTATTATATGTTTCTGGTAAATCTCTGATTTGAAGTCAATGTGCTTTTTAATCATTTTTTCCAACCATGTGTGGATTTTAGTCCAATATCTTTTGGCTTCTACACATGTCCACCACATATGGTAATATGAGCCCGGTGTCTGATGACATTTCAAGCACTTTTCCGTTTTGTGCGATGATTAAGCAATGGGCAGTGTATTATAATGCTTTTTTTGATGGAGGTCAAAAATGATGACTTCCTGGGAACATATAAACTGATGTGATTGTGTCGTTTTTGTCTTCCCATTTAAGCAAACTAGGTGCAATTCGTATTTATCAGGTTTAACTCTGAAAAAATAACATGGCAGCCCTGTATCTTTGTATACCTTAAATGGTTAATGTACAGTGAGTAAAAGAAGATAGCATCACCGGTTAAAATGTTTGTCAAAGTGGCCACTAGATTCTAATAAGGTGAACTCTGTATCTTTCATGGGCAGTTACAGAAATATTTACAGTACATTTTTAACCAAGCAAACAATCAAAGGAAGGATGGGAGGGAGGGAGGGAAGGAGGGAGGGAGAGTGATATCATCTGATAGTACTCATAATAACTCAATAACAGGTAGAAATTCTAACAATCAGAAGACTGGAATGTAACTATATGGTTTTCTTCATAGATATTAAAGTCTTCAGACTAATGTATTACAGGAAAGGAAAAACCATTAGTTTGTTATTCAGGAATTTAGTCTGATACCAAACCAACTCACTTATCTGAAGTACTTAATGCATGGTGGAATGCTACATAGAGCAGCAGTCACCAACAGGTGGTCCGTGAGAAAATTTTGGTGGTCCGCAGAAAAATTATTTGCATTTTTTATGTTGCACTAAATCAGGGGTCCTCAAACTACGGCCCGTGGGACAGATACGTGCAATGAACGTTTGTGTTTCTGCAGAGAGTCTCCCCCTTTGGGGTCTTTTTGTGTGGGTTGGAGTGGGGCAGAAATTCCAACTTGAGGTCTGCTTCGGCCTCCTGGTGTGGGGCTCTGGGCAAAGGGTGGAGGGAAGCGCCTCTGGTGGTGAAGAACCGGAGGGTCTTGTTCCAATGGGACTGTATCATGGTCTGGAACTGGCTGAACATCTCAGCTTGCTGAGCCTGCAGGTGGCTGTACCTGGCCTTGCACTCCCGCAGGTCTTCCCTCTGCTTGGAGGGCCTATGCTCATAGTCCTCAGTGAGCTGCTTCTGCTGAGCCTCCTTCTCAGTCAGATCCAATTTGAACTGAGCCAACTGTTTTGGTGGCTGCTTAGCTCTAACAACTGCTTCCTGTTGGGGCCCTAAGGAACCTTGGCTGGGAGTGGCTGGGAGGGGAGGGGTGAGTAGAGACCGGCAAGGCACCCCTTGACATGAGTGACATTGAGTGGCGACTCCCATCCAGTCACATGACCACCTAGCCACACTCACCCAGCCAGTCATTAGGCAGATCATATTAGTGGTCCGCTGGATTTAAAATTATGCATTTAGTGGTACGTGAGGTCCAAAAGGTTGGGGACCCCTAACATAGAGGAATTCACAGGGAGGAGAAATGAGCCTAGCCAAAAAGCAGAACTTTTTTTTTTAAAAAAAAAGAAAAACAACAAAACATCTCGACTGTTCAGACCAATTCTCTTTTTACTGATTTAAATGTCATCCCACGACCACAATTGTTTGCCAGTGCAGGGCACTAAATAGATGAACCATTTCCAACTACTTTTTCCCTTCATCACATTTCTTCCTTATTAGCGCCCACTTGGTGATGGAGATTAAGTGCACCTTACAAAAGACCACAAATAATAATCATGGGAACGCTATAGCTGTCTTTTCAGAGTTAAGCACAATGGATTTTACTGGAACTTTCTTTTAGTTAAGGTTTTAAGAGATCACAGCTTTTTTTTACTGTAGGCATTTTAATCTGGTTGCAGACACTGAACTCATAAAAATAGGCAGCATATTTAAAAAAAGAATGCGGGTGGGATTGGCATGGGAACTTGGCATCTCAGTTGAAGTCTGCCAATAACTTTGGAGATGAATAAAAAAAAAAAATTAAAGCACTTACTTGCTTACTAGCTTTTTAATTTTAAGTAATGCTCCAGAAGTTGTATGTCAGTTCCCAAGGTATGATTCAAAGCAGAGGTGGTATTCAGCAGGTTCTGACCAGTTCTGAGAACCGGTAGCGGAAATTTTGAGTAGTTCAGAGAACTGGTAAATACCACCTCTAGGTGGCCCCGTCCACATTTATTCTCTGCCTCCTGAGTCCCAGCTGATCGGGAGGAAATGGGGATTTTGCAATATCCTTCTCCTGCTATTCCCACCAAGTCACGCCCACCAAGCCATGCCATGCCCACCAAGTCACACCCACAGAACCGGTAGTAAAAAATTTTGAATCCCACCACTGATTCAAAGCCAAAGTGAGCATTTGAAAGTGATTTCCACTCTTTCGAAGGAATCATTGTTGGGAAAGGAATCTTTCTTTCCAGAGATTCTCAAGATAAAGTCAATGCCCTCGTGATATTGCAACTTAGCAGATGCAATTTTGCCAAAGGCCTCCTAAAATTAGAATTTGTTGCTAATGAAGTTATGGTGGGAATGGTGGAAGAAAATTGAAAAGACTGTACGATACATTAATCCTAAATTGCTGTTTGTGCTATGCTGCACTTTCTTAACAACCTTGAAAAACTGGGCTGTTATAAAATCTATCCTCTTTCCCTTAGAATTCCAGCTGAAATATCTGTAAGATCAGCTGCCTCAAGCAATTCAATATTTCTATTAAATAAGCAATTTGAATGGAGTATTTTAAGGAGATGGAAAGAAGACACCGTAATACAATCTGGTTTAATTGTAGTTTTACTGATCATTCTCATTTTAAGCAAAATGCCACACTTGAGAAATAACAGAATCAAGCAGAGACAATCAAAGTCCTCAAAAAAAGAGAAAAATCATTGAAAGCAATGAGCAGCAAGGAGTTTATAAACATTATAGGGAACACTGATGATTGATTTGATTAAAAAGGCCGGAAGCAATTCTGAACAGGAAACATAATTCAGGTTCCTATGAAAAAGGATCATAATGATGAAAAAGGATGAAAATTAGAAAACTCAAAAATGGAGAAATGACGGTGGTAATGGTTAAAGCTGAAGATTCAACAAGGGAAGGGACGCATGAAGTCGGTGCACTCAATCTCATTCTGTGGCTATTTGCACTATAGAAGAAATGCACTTGGTTTTAATACTTCAGTTAAAAGTAGTAATCTACAACTGATCTGCCTTGACCATCCAATTTGCTTTCAGAAAGGAAAAAAAAATGCTTGTAGGGATGCCCAGAAGTGGCTTTTCTTGTGTGAAGTGATGAGATGGGTCAGTCCTCTAAGAATCAGGGAGACATTCCCATAGTTGGACTATTTGGAAAAGAGTCCTTTTGAAGCTTTGGATAGTTCTATATTAAGCTCAGATTTATGCCCGGAGGCTCCAACTGGTGCAGAATGCAGCCGTGCGGGGGATTATGGAAGTGACGGGGCGCTCTCATGTGACTCCTCTCCTGCGCGAGCTGCATTGGCTTCCGGTGGACTTCCGGGTGCGCTTCAAGGTGTTGGTGATCACCTTTAAAGCGCTCCATGGCTTAGGGCCGGGGTACTTACGGGACCGCCTTCTGCCACCAATTGCCTCCCACCAGCCAGTTCACTCCCACAGAGAGGGCCTCCTCAGGGTGCTGTCGGCCAGACAATGCCGGCTGGCGACCCCCAGGGGGAGAGCCTTCTCTGTGGTGGCACCTACCCTTTGGAACAATCTATCCCCAGAGATACGAGTGATCTCCAACCTCCGGACTTTTCGTCGGGCCCTAAAAACTTATTTTTTTCAGTTAGCCGGTCTGTCTTGATTTTATGGTTGGTTTTAAAATTTGATACGGATTTTAAATTGATAAGTTTTAAATTACGGGCCAAATTTATTTAATTATTTTAAATCTATTTTTAACTGTAACTTTATGTATAAATGTTTTTATTTTGGCTGTTCACCGCCCTGAGTCCGAAAGGAGAAGGGCGGTATAGAAGTTTTAATAATAATAATAATAATAATAATAATAATAATAATAATAATAATAATAAAGAAAGCATGAAAGCAGCCATCTAATGTGGTTTATTATTGCTCTGACAGAAGCACGAGTATGGATTTTACATGGTGACCAGTCAAAGACACTGAGAAGGGTAGAAGGACCCTCTCATGTTTGAAGGCAATCCTTTCAAGTAAAGTTAGGTGAGATCTTCACATTGAGTTCAACTGGCGACAGTTGATTTTCTAGGCGACAAAATAGGACTCATTTGAAATGGTCTTTTTCTCTTCTTTATTTTTCCATTTTATCATCCAACCTGTAACCCTCGACTTTCCGGATGTAACCCATCCACATACAAATCACAGCCAACTCTGCTCAGTTTATGGGATCAGCCAAAGTCAAGAAGGTATCTCACTGGGAGATTTAAAGGCCGTTTTTAAACTAAACAACTGTGCTTAGCTCCTTTCTTCCTTTAAAATGTGATTCAATATCTTTATCCTTATCTAGGATAAGGGAAGTTTATTTCTCTCCAATCCACTCTGCCTCCAGAAGCTTTTCTCAAAATCTTCCCATGGGGCCTTTTTAAAGATGCATATTTTATAAGCTGCTCCGGGCTGAGCATGTGACTATTCGGCAACTAATTAACTTTTGTCAGCAGGATCTGGGTTCCCATAATTGTGCTATATAACTTACCAGCACAGAATAGATATCAGTGTATGAAAGTATAAGGTATTTTCTGCAGGCCAACAACTGTTGTCTGAAAACCAAATCCGTCGTAGAAATCAATATTTTACTATCTTGCTCCAACCAAGACACCAGCCCCTACCCATAGATTTGATGTAAGTTTATCTAGTTTGCACTCCCTCCCCCACCCCCAAGATAAGTGAAATATAGCTCAATATGGTAACCAGGTTATGGTTCGTTCAACCAATCATGGCAAAAAAACCCAAAGCTTACTCTGATCCATTTAATAAAAATGACTTTAAATTTCAGGACCTATATATTCTGGTTATTTTCAATGTTGTTGTGATGAGGGGTGATGAGGGGTGGGAGGACGACAAATTAAAATGTTTGGAAAAAAATAATTTTCAAGAAGGCAGGGACTAATTACTTTATACCTGGAATAACTTGGATACTTGTAATTGTCAGCCCACTATAATGATGTACTTTGAAAACAATAACAATAGCTTCTGACACAAGGTAAAGGTAAAGGTTCCCCTCACACATATGTGCTAGTCGTTCCCGACTCTAGGGGGCGGTGCTCATCTCTGTTTCAAAGCCGAAGAACCAGCACTGTCCGAAGACATCTCCGTGGTCATGTGGCCAGCATGACTAAATGCCAAAGGCGCACAGAACGCTGTTACCTTCCCACCAAAGGTGGTCCCTATTTTTCTATTTGCATTTTTTACGTGCTTTCGAACTGCTAGGTTGGCAGAAGCTGGGACAAGTAACGGGAGCTCACCCCGTTATGCGGCACTAGGGATTCGAACCGCTGAACTGCCGAACTTTCGATTGACAAACTCAGTGTCTTGGCCACTGAGACACCACGTCTTACTCTGTGGACTCTTTTCAAATGAGTCTAGAAATGTAATGATCTTCTAAAGGTTACATTACATAGTACAATGGTTAAAATGTTGGGTTAAGAAAAAAATCAAGGTTCAAGTCCACCTCCAACTATAGATGTTCATGGGATTCATTTGGACTAGTCATTTTCATCTCATACAACAGGATTGTTATATAAAGAATTGCTGTGTCCATTGCCTTCAGCTCCTAGAGGTAATTCCTCTAGAGAGACTCCTAGAGAAGCTTTGGAGGCTGGGGACAGCAAAAAAAGTCACTTCTGATCCAACCGGGAGTTGGGAAATGGGCCATTTCAGGCCTCCGGAGGGCCTCCGAGAGGGTGGGGAAGGCTGTTTTCGTCCTCCCCAGATGCATAGAGAGGATCTGGAGCCAGGTGAGAAAGAAAAATGGGCCTACTGGGCCATCACATGCCAGGACCGGGTGGTAAGGGGGCTTGTGCATGCATGCGCAGGGTGGGGCGCATAGAATTATGGGTGTGGACATGCATGCACACAAACCTCCCCCTCTCCCCCTCCTGGCATGCGATGGCAAAAAGGTTAGCCATCACTGTCCTAGAGGAAAGACAGGATGGAATTCCAATAAAAATATAAATCAGTTCCCATCACCTCTGATGCTTAGTCATGATAGTGGTGATTGATTTGAGGTGGAAACCAACAAAGTCTGAAGCGACATAGATTCCCTTACCCCTGCCATAATGCTCAGCCAAGCCAATATTTTAAAGGCCTACTTTTATGTTTCATGGATGACAATGACGATCCATGGATCAGGTTCAGAGGAAAGTTAGGTATTCGCCTTTGCAAATTGTGCCATCTTATTATGGAAATGACTTGTGTTGTTGAATAGATTCATTTCTGACTCATTTGGAACCTGGCTATTAGTGGAGATCAGTTATAAGTACGGTTTATCCTGTGAGCAGGAACAAAAAATCCCAGTCTTTTTGAACTAATGAGATCCAGAACTGTACTTTCTGACCTTAAAACTCTGATCTTTTAGCAAAGTTATTTCTCTTTCTGAAGTGCTGAATGATGGAGCGACAGTACTAAGATAAAGAGAGCAGCTTTGTGCTCAGAGATTTGGGATTCACATACTGTAGCAACCGGTTCACCCAGCATGGGAAATATGAGTGTGCACTGTCTGCGCATGCATGCAGCATTACCAAACACGGCAAGTCACTCAAGAGCACCATCCGTGCATGTGTGCGACATCAAACAACACAGCAATTCACTCTCGTGCCCCGTCCACAGATTGGTGCGATGTCAAAAACACAGCAATATAGGACAGGATTGCGGCCAGGCGGATGGGAGAAACCATCTGCAGGTCGCCTCTACGGGTTCATATGAACCGGTCTGAACCGGCTGAATACCACCTCTGTTTGTGCTTTTAGTTTAGTATATACAGTAAGTCTGCTAATAAACAGATTTTATTGCTGTTTCTCTTTCTCTCACTCTCTCTTAAGATGGGAGGAAGATAACTGAATGCAGAGAATGACATTTAGTCTGCTATATTCCTGCATTTCCATTTTCTTAGCCATCGATATTCTGCTAAACTATCATTGTCATGACCTGTAATTGGGCAAAACAGTGCATCAAAAGGCAACAATTTTGAAACCAACCAACCTCAAATAGACCAACCTAAAGAATGCGTCCAAAGTCCTGAACTTATAACTCCTGAGGAAATGAAAATTGGGAAAATTGTGCTGCTTCAGTGCCACCGGTTGCTGCTATGCCGCTCCTATGGTCAAGTGTTCTTTATTTTCAATGTTCCATGACAGTTTCCCAGACAGTCACGTAATCCCTCATTCCCTCACCCACCCAGCAGCAGTCATTTATTTGCCAGCTGGACTGGGCAGGGCAAGGCAGGGCAGGGCAGGGCAGGGAAAATGAAGGGAAGGGAAGCAAAGCAAAGGGAAAGAAGGAATGCCTGTTTACCTTTCCTGGTTCATACCTCCCCCTGTACATTCCCCCAACCTGTTCCATCCCCCATATATGCCTTCCCCAATTCATACATCTCCTGCATGCCTTCCCCATAATATCTTCCCATGCTTCCTATTCAACACATGTAACTGTTCTTAAATACCCTTCTGATGCCCATGCACTGTACCCAATCTGCACAGCACTTCTCATGCAGCCCTTTCCTGATACCACCCATCCATGTGTGCTCCTTGACCTACACAGGATCGCTGGTGCATATCCACACACCTTTACCAAGATGTATAGCATTTCTTGCTTCCCCCCAATACATTCTTGACCTACACCCCCTCACTTCTTCCCCCAGGCAGCAGCAACTACTTACTTGCCTGCTGGACTTGCAACTTCCTGCTGGCTTCTCCATAGACTTCTTCCCTGCAAGTTTCCCATAAGTAAAGTAAATGGGAAGCCAGCAGAAATTCTGGGAAGGGAAGGAGAAAGAGAAGGAGAAGGAGAAGGAGAAGGAAGATTTTTGATGCTCTCTGCCAGCTCCCCACAAGGAAACTCACCAAGGAAACTGGTAGGAATTTGAAAATCATTCTTTTTTTTTTTTTTTTGTCTACTCATGGTCATTCTTTGTTTAGATCAGGGCTGTCAAATTCCTGGCCCACAGGCCAGATGCGTCATGCACTGGCCACACCCATGCCCTGTTTAGCAAAGGGGTAAAAAAGTCCTGATACGTCACGTGACATCAAAGTGACAACATGAGTTTGACACCCCTGATTTAGATGAAGAAATATTTCTGAAATGATGAAATCTACTAGGCATCACAGGATGCCTAGTACATTTTAAAACAATGAAACTGATGATGTCACCATGTCCTCATTGTGACACTTATTTGGATTATATATGAAATGCTTATCACCCATTTTGGACAACTTGAAATACTTTCCTTCCATATAAAACTAAAAGCACCTTCTCCCTCCCTATTCCTTGTAATCTAATGTTGGCATTTTTAGGTAACTCCTTTTAGAAAATAAAATAGATATTGATAGTGGCAGATAAACCTTAGAGAATTAAGGAGTCGTTCAGTGAGCATTCTATATGGAAATAACTTCTCCATAGGGATAGATTACTTTATTGGTCTATGCCCATGATGGCAAACCTGTGGCACGCATGCCACAGGTGGCACATGGAGCCATATCAGTGAACACGTGAGTGTTGCCCTAGCTCAGCTCCGGCGTGCATGTGTGCGCCAGCCAGCTAATTTTCGGGTCTTCTGGGCCCACCGGAAGTTGAGAAACAGGCTATTTCCAGCCTCTGGAGGGCCTCTGGGGGGGTGGGGAAGGCTGTTTTTGCCCTCCCCAGGCTCCAAGAAAGCCTCTGGAGCCTTGGGAGGGCAAAAAATGGGCCTACTGGGCCCACCGTGCCATTGCGTACCTAAAGTGGGGGAAGCGCAGGGGTGTCACGTGTGCATGCTCGTGAGGGTGGGGCATACTGAATTATGGGTATGGGCATGCATGGGCGCGACCCTCCCTGTGCTCCTCCCACTTTTGGCACACGACGGCAAAAAGGTTAGCCATCATTGGTCTATGCCTTATTATGTGTACATGGGATACAAGTGACTGATTTTAATTCATTTTCATGATGATAGCATCTAAATATTACATATGTAATTGTAACAACACCAGATTTTGGGGGGGAGGGTTTCCTTGGCAATTGGCATTACACATAAATATAGATTTGCTTATTTTAATAAAAATTTCTGCCTCTGTTAAAAAAAAAATGTTGCATGTCAAATGGCATTCACACTTACATTAGGAAAAAGGAAGATGGAGAGTTGTCTGGCATTTCATGTCCAACACTGAATAAAGATAACCTTTTAAAAGTAATTGGCATAATTTATATACCAATACAACATCTCTTAGCATAGCGTGATTACCTGTTTCTCGCTGTGTTGTAGACCTGGTGATATTTGTTGATTTCAGCTCCAAAGCCCTTCTTTTTCTAGCTCTCTTTAAATCAAACTTGGGCCAATGTCTTCATTTAGTAGGATATTTGGTCATTCTGACCATGTCTGTGTGTCCATGTAGGAAGTCCTTATTCCCTGGATCAAAAAGGACTGTGTCTAAGGAAATTACCGTATTTTTCAGAGTATAAGATGCACCTTTCCCCCCCACCCTAAAAGAGGATGGAAATGTTGGTGCATCTTATACACCAAATACAGCCATTTTTGGTCTCCCGAAGCCCCACCATGCTCATTCCATTTTTGCAAAAAACAGGCCCATTTTTCACCCTTTTTTCGCAAAAACCAGGGGCATTTCTGCCCTCCCTCAGCCACCAGGAACACTCTGCAGGCCTTCCAAAAATAGGCCGTTTTTCACTTGTTTTTGCAAAAAAACGGGGTTTGGGAGGTCTGTAGAGTACTCCTGGGGGCTGCAGGAGGGCAAAAACGCCCCCGTTTTTGTGAAAAATGGGCAAAAAATGGGCCTGTTTTTGCAAAAAATAGGGCATGCAGAGGGTTTGGGAGGCCTGCAGAGTGCTCCTGAGGGCAAGGGAGGGCAAAAACTTTTTTTCTTACTTCCTCTTTGAAATCTTGGTGTGTTTTATACACCGGTGCATCTTATAGTCCGAAAAATACAATAGATGACAATATGACCCCCCCCCCAAGAAAAAATCAGTTGCTATTATGAAAGGAAAGGTAGAAACATTTCACTCTGTGCCCTAACACAACTGAATTGGAATGACCTGTATTCACATTAATATACTTTTCAAACGGAGCACTACGTACTCCATTTTTAGTGGAATTCATTCTTGTTTGCCCATCATTTGATCTGTCCGTGTGTATGTAGCAACTTAATAGTCATTCACTGAAGATTACAAGTATCTGTGGCAAGCATAATTACTGAAATATATCCAAAACATCTGAAGAACGACTGATTACGTATTCAGGTCTACAACAGATATTAGGTTAGGGCAGTATAGGTAATACATCCGGATCAGGGGTAAAATGCACTTACCTTTACTGCCAGATTGCAAATGTGAGTGCATGTGCATGCAACGCTCGTGTGTGCCTCCTCCACGCATGCACAGAGCCTTCTGCACATGCACAGAGGGTCAAAAACAGGACATGATGAGGTCTGGGCAGGTGGGCGGAACCTCCTGCCACTGGCCCTACCGGATCGCACGAACTGAACCAGATCCTGTACTGAATCTCTAATTATTCTAAATTAGAATTATAGCTTATAGAAATTGGTATCTGCTAAACTGGTATCTTCTTAACTGTATATTTTATTAGATTAAAAGAGAATAGGTACTAATATTATAAATATAAATACTTAAGTAGAAACTATAAGGTGGTTACTGAGATTATTGTCCTGAAATAACATCTAACCAGAAAACATTAATTTTCATTGTCCCAAAGGTGCTTTTTCAAGAGGCAATCAGACTTTCTGATTTTTCTTTGAAGACATTTTGATTTCTTATCCAAGAAGCTTCTTCAGCTCTCAAGAGCTAAAGATGAGGAGCAAAACATTTTGGATGAGAAGCAAAAAGTCTTCAAAGTAAAACCAGAAAGTTCAATTGCCTCCTTTGGAACAACCTTTGGGACAACCATGACCTGGATGACTGATAATCTCCATAGATCAGGGGTGTCAAACTTGATTTCACTGAGGGCCGCATCAGGGTTGTATTTGACCTTGGGGGGCTGGGGTGGGCGTGGCCAGGGTGGGCATTGGCAGCTTGACGTCATTCGTGTTGGGGGCACCTGTGGCCACCTGAGTGCTCTGCCAGAGAAAACAGGCACCTGGGCTTTGTTTTCGGCTGTGACGGCCTCCTGCAACCCTCTGCCAGCAAAAATGGAGCTCAGGAGAGCGGCATCATGGACCAGTACTTTGCTGTTTCCAGGGTGGTCCCATGCGCCAGACTTAAACACTCCGTAGGCTGGATCTGGGTCCCGGGCCTTGAGTTTGACACCCCTGCCATTGATATTAATTTTCGCTCAACTTATTTTCTAAGATGCAAAATTGTACAAAAATAGATTGAATTAACGTGTATTTGTGTAAATACAATCTACTTCTTCATCAGAAATAGAGACTATTCAGTCCAATCTGTGCATTCCTATACATTGCAGGAATTCAGGTTAAATGTCTAACAAATGTGTGCTCAGTGTCTTCTTGAACGTCCAGCAGAGAAGTTGCCATCTTCCTAGATCATTCAGGTAAGGAAATTCAAAACACGTAGCTTTTCTGCCTATGCTCATCCTTTGCACCTGTTACCAACCAAGTTCCAAGGATAGTATGTTTTCCAAGACAAAAAAATGCCTAAGACCAATCACTCACAAGCAGAAAGACAAGCTACAGGCAGGGTGAAATTTGTGTATTTCTCTTCATATGTCCTCTGAGAACCAGACATGATCATCCATATTCAAATTCGTGCATCTGCCAGTCTCATTTCCAGCTCAGCTCTCTCTCTATCTCTCCATTCACTCAGTGTTCTGCCCCAGCTACGGACCCCAAAGAACACAGCACGCATAAAGTCTGTACAAACCTTAGTTTACTTAATTAAATCAGTCTTTTTCAAACAAAGGCTGTTAATTAACTTTCTTAACAGCCTACAAGAATCCAAAGAATGATTATTTATTTTTTAAATAAATAATAAATAATCATAATCTTACTATGGTTGGCAGAAAGCCCAGAAACAATTTGCAGGAAACTGTTAAGAGAACTAAGATCAAGACGCGAAGGTGAATGAACGAAGTTGTTCCCTGCAAATTGCCTCAGTCATCGTCCTTTGTTAAATAGGCTAAGGGAGTGGCCAATTAGCCCCACACCTTACTCTCGAGGAGACCTCCTCCTGAGGAGCCACTCCTGCCTTTTGGCCACTCTATGCGCCTGTGCATCGAGAAGAAGCTCCTCCTCTTCTTCCTCTTCACTTATGGGAGCTTCTGGAGGTTCTGAAGGCCCTGGCTGAATCCCCGCCTCTGGCACCACATCTTCTCCAGCCTCCTCATTGTCTGACTCAAGTGCCAGCTGCACAGGCTGCTGGCACAGCACCACACCAGCGTCCTCGCTGTTGGAATCAGCTACTAGCTGCACAGGCCGCTGACGGGCCACAACACTCAGTGGAAATGTTAAACTAGATAACCACTGCAATGAAACAATTGGCATGTGAACTTAAACAACCTGCTGGCAGTCCAAAGAACTTCCTCTTTAACACAGTGGAATTGTCAACTCGCAAAGCGTTTCCAGTCTGCTTTCGAGTTGCCATGGGCAGCAAGGTGGGAGCACATTCCAGGCATACCTTCTTCCAAGCTTGGATCTCAGATTACTCAGATTGTGAGGCGTGTTTTCTACTGCCCGCGAGAGTGCTTCGTTGGAGAATGTGATTTATGACACAGATTGAGAGGAGAGGGGAAACAGGGTCAAAGTTGAGCTGTAAACTGCCTGCGGCAAAGTTGACCTCACTCGAGTAGATGCCGACATGCTGCTCCTAATAAATAACTGGATTTCTTTTGAAACTTGGCTCGAGACTCATGAGTTAATTAGGGCATCTGTCGGAACCTTCACAGGAATCTGTTGAAACCAGGAATGGTTGCAGAATATTGACTGAAGGAAATCA